GGAGTCCCCGGTGCACACGGCGCGGGGCCTGAGTGAAGGGCCCCCGTGTCCCCGGGAGGAGAGAGCCACCTCGGTGTGGGACAAGAGCCTGGGATTGACAGAACGCTTGGATTTGCCAAGTTCCACGTCAGCTGGCCAGGCGTCAGCCGGATCCTGCCTCAGCCGTAGGCGCTGGTGGCCGGTGCGGAAACCGCTGGTTCCGGCCGCTGTCGTAACTTCCAGGTTCCCCGGCTTATGCCATCTCGTCTGTCTCCACCGGCTCATTCGCCCCTGCAGCCGGGCCCGTCTCCCCCGCCCCTCTGAGCCCCGGTCTTGGCGTTGGGGGTCCTTCCCCCGGTCCCCCAGAGGGGGCCTGCTCTCCCAGGCTGGAGTGACTCAGTTTCCCTGGTTTGAGAGCTTGCTTCTGTTCGGCCTGGGCCTGGGGCGGAAGTCTCCTTAGCAGAATATAAAGAAAAAGTTTTCAGCCTGAATCGCCTCGAATACCTACACAGGAAGCGCGGTTATTTATAGTGGGAGCTCCTTTGGGGCGAGGTCCGTGGCTGGTCACCTGATTGGCCTGAGGTCCTTATCTGCCGCTGGGAGCTGGGGCTCGGCCTGCGGTGGCCGAGTTTGCGCCTCAAAAGGCAATGCCGGGAGGGCGGGTGACTCAGCGCGGGAGCGGCTGGCCGGGACTTCTGGGCACGGGGAGGGCATTAGTCGGGCATTAGTCCGGCAGCCTCGGGTTACTGACCGGCTATCTCGAGTCCTGCCCCCCGCGTGGCCAGGGGGAGGAGGAATTTTTATGACCTTCCTGCTTCCCACCATGCTCTCAGCTGGGTTGTTTTCAGTGGAGGAATTTGTTCTCACGGCAGCTTCCAGGCCTTAGACTAACGTGAAGTGAATTCGCTTCTCTCTTTTCGGCGGGGAGGCGGTGCTGTGGCCACATCAGGCTCTAATAATTCATTTTGGCCGTGTTTGGTTTCATACTAAAGCCTCCTCCCCTGCTGAACTCCAGGACCCCCCCACCCCCAAATAAAACCCTATAAAACAAACCAAAGTTCTAAAATCAAAGAACAAAAAACTGGGCCAGACACCCTCTCCTTCCCCTGGGCAGAAGCGGCCTCTGCACTCTGGCTCTGCATTCTCAGTGATGGAGCCGTGGCACTGTGCTCTCAGTGATGGAGTCGCGACCTCATGGTGGGGCCCTTCCTGCCGGTGGCTTCGGGGGCAGGGAAGGGGTGTCATTTCCGGTGCTGTTCGCACGCCCCTGCCAGGGCCCGGTGAAAGTCCCTCCTTTCTCACCTCTCCATTTCCTGTGTCGGGCACGTGGGGGGTGTTTCCCTGGGGGGGGTGCTTTGGGAATGGCCCCACCCTCCTGGGATGTCCCTCACCCGGGAGCCACTTCCCCGGGCACCCGCTGTCCAGCTGCCCTCAGCCCCTGGGGCCAGCAGCCGCCTTCCCCACGGCACGTCCCTGTGGGGACAGACCCCCCCTCCTGTCCAGGAAGCGGAAGCTGAGGCCCCGCAGCTGGCGCGCAGGGGCTGGTATCCGGGCTGGCCCCGCTGTGGACGGGTGTTGGGGCCACTGTGGGCCCGTCTGCAGTCAGCCCCAGGCCGGGCCCTGGCATCCACTTTGGCCCCTTCCGGACGCAGCGTTTGCCCCCGACGCCTGTTGGGAAGTCTCGGTTTTACCACTGTTTCTATTTCTGGCAGTTTTCAGGACGAAGAAATTTGATGCTCTTTATTTTTCTAAATAAGGGAAAGAATCCTGTGAACAAAGGAGCCACAGCACCGCGTGTTCCCTCGGCAACTCTGCTGTGGCCCGTGTGCCACCAGCACCGTCCTGGGTCCACCTTTCCCCTCGGTCCCTGCTGGGGGCCCCGGCTTGGCTGTCACCGGGAGCCTCATCTGGGATGGACTCCGGACTCTTCCACCTGGGGGGTTCCCAGACATTTCCGGGGATTTGGGGCGCAGGGACCACAGCGGGAGTGCAGGGGTGTTCCCTAGGGGCCGGCCTCAGTGAACTGGGCAGCACTCGCCTGCCGCGACACCCAGGGATGCTGGTGGCCACCCTGTCCCCGTCCCCGTCCCCGTCCCCGTCCCTGTGTGTCTCTGGAACTGTGGAGGAGATGCCAGTGGTCAGTTGTCTAGGGGGCAGAATCAGATGCCGCGGGGCTTGCCGGGTTCGTGGCTGCCACCAGGGCCCCGACCTTGGGAAGTGTGGGGGGCATGGGGAGGGACCCTGGCAGCCCTGAGGCCCCGTGGTCCCTTGCTCCCACACCTTCGACATCCCCTGCGGAGCTGAAGTGGGCTTGCGGGTGGCCATCCCCTCCGTGGACAGCCACGATTTCCGTGGCTTCACCCCAGGGTCACAGTAAAGGGCGGCCACTGCCACAGGACGCGGCGTCTGTGGTTAGTGTCCCCTGCTGCACAGCTTTGCCGCTGGGAGTCGTGTCCCTGTGGCCGCCGCTGGCTGCGGTGGGCTCAGCTGACTGGGGCTGTTCCACGTGCCCGGGACCCCCAAGGCCTCTTCAGCACCAACGCCCCCTGAACAAGCCTCCCCAGAGCACCTGGCTGCATCCTCACAGGGAATGTGTGCCCAGGGTCTGAGGGTTCAGAAGACGCGACCTTGCGCTGGGGGCCAGGAGGGGCTGGGGTGGACATGGGGGCCAGGCTCAGCCCCGGGGCCACCCGCTATCTAGCTGTGAGGCTGAGTTTGCTCTGACAGGTGGAAGGAGCCCATACACAGGGCTCACACAGGGCACCGCACACAGGGTACCCCACACGGTACCCCAGCACGCAGGGTACCCCCCATGGTACCCCAAATAGGGTACCCCAACACAAGGGTACCCCAACGCACAGGGTACACACAGGGAACCCACACCGGGTACCCACACACATAGGGTTCCCTCCCCACAGCCCCCCCCGACCACTGGTGCCACCGACAGAAGCGGGATAAGCCGGCTGTGCTCACCTGTGCCCAGGCCCCATGCTTGGCATGCTTGTCCTGCAGCATGGGGTGGGGAGAGACCGAGGCTGCGTATCAGCCCCCCACCCCCATGTGTGGAACAGGAACCCGGCGGCTCGGGGCCATGAGAGGTTTTGTTGGGAAACGAGCAGAGGCTGAGGGAGGCTCCTGCCTTGCACCCTCAGCCTGGGCCACTGGCCGGTGGCCGAGCAGGGGTGGATATGTGTGGCCTGTTTTGAGGGGGTCACCCCGATGCCCTCCAACTCTGTTGCCAGAGTTCCCCAGGCAGCTGGGACGTGGCCGTGTCCTCTCCTGCCCTGTTTCCCGAGGGCTGGGGTGTCTCGCTGCTCTCTGGAGCCCGGCCTGTGTCATTGGCTCTTTTCTCCCCTTTCATTTGTGCTTGGGATCAAACTCTGGGCCTCCCGCCTCAGGGCAGGTGCTATTCTCTGAGCCACGCCGGGTGATGTCTGGGCTCCCATGCTCGGTGGCCGTGGTCTCTGGGCCCGTATTCAGTGGTTGCAGTCTCAGGCTCCGCAGTTGGTGGCCGTGGTCTCTTGGCCACACTTGGTGGCTGTGGTTCTGGGCCACACTCAGTGGCTGTGGTCTTCGGGCCACACTCGGTGGCCGTGGTCTCTGGGCCACACTCGGTGGCCGTGGCCTCGGGGCCTGCCCTGTGCGCTGCAGTGGGGTTCTGAGCTGGCGTCCCTGGCGTTGGCTCCCCCAGCTGTGCTTGCGGCGTGTGGGTCCCGGTTCCTGAAGCCTGTGCCTGTGTCTGAGCGGCACCTGCTGTCATAGGACCCTGCTCTGTTGCCCGGCCCTGCCCTCAGTTCTTAGGAGCTTGTCCCTTGTCACACGACTGGTCACACGCTCCAGCTTCCTGTTCTAGCCCAGCAGAGAGGCACCTTCTAGAACCTTACAGCCCCTGACTAGGTCAGGCCACGGCACCACCTGCCTGCTCCTTGTCCCTGATGAGGTCAGGCCCACCTGCCTTCTGGACTCAGTCTGAGCTGCAGCCTCCAGCCTGTCCCCGTGTCAGGAGTCGGCGTGTGACAGCCCCGAGTCTCTCCTGAGGGTGAAGCCAGTGGCAGAGCCGCGGGTGGGGGCGGGGGGCGGAGTGTGGGGGCAGAACTGGGGGGCCTTGCCCTGGCTGGAGCAGTGGGCAGCAGTATCTGGTCCCCTGCTGGAGGAAGCCGGTGTGGCCGGTAATCCCGGTCCTAAGCCCCCTGCGGCCTGAGGCCGTGTAGACGGGAGCCCTGAGGCGCTGCACAGGCAGATAAGGCTGCCTGGCCCATGGCCCCATCCCACAGGCGGCTCGCTGGGGTGACCCCCCCCCCCCCCCCCCCCCCCCGCTCTCGGGCCTGGGAAACCCCCAGCACTGCCCCCGGGCTCTGCAGGGCCAGGAGGGGCCACGTCCTTGGCCCCTGGGGTGGGGGGTCGATGCCCCGGGGAGGGTCCCTGTGCCCTGAGCTCCCAAGCAACTGCACCCCCTTCCCCAAAGAGAAGCCGCGACCCTAAGGGACAGTCAAAGCGGTTTCCTGACCAGAGAGGGTAGCGGCCAACTCTACAGGGAGAAGCAGGGCAGGGCGGGGGTGGGGGGCGGGTTTGTGGGGACACTTGGCCACTCTGCGCCCTCCTGTCCGGAACCCGGGAAACTGAGACCTGGGGGCGCGGAGAGGGAGTGGACAGCGAGTGACCTCGTCAGGCGGGAAGATAGGGGTGTCCTGGGTCGCCGCCAGCATGAGGCCCCCCAGGCTGCCTGGGGTGGGCGTGTCTGCAGGCAGGCAGGCTGTGTGACCTCAGCAAGGCCCTTCCCCTCTCTGGTCAGGAAACGGGCAGCCGCAGTGCCCCTCTGAGGCCTCTGGAGGAGGGGAGGAGCTCGGGCAGGGTCCGTCTCAAGCCTCAGAATAGCGCGGCTGCCCCGACGTCCTTGTGCAGCCTCTCAGCCGCTGTGGGAGCCGCTGGGTAGCAGCGGGCGCACAGGGTCCTGTCGGGGCGGCCTGCCCACTGCCCGCTGCCCACTGTCGCTGTTCTCACCTGGCCCGGGTCTCTTGCAGGCGGAGGCCCGGCTGGCGGCCAAGCGTGCGGCCCGCGCGGAAGCCCGAGAGATCAGGATGAAGGAGCTGGAGCGGCAGCAGAAGGAGGTAAGGGCGGGCGGGTGGCACCTGCGGCCGGGCCGCGGCCACGCCCAGTGTCCTCGGGGCACCTGGCTGACCTCGTCCAAGGTCGGCAGGGAGGCGCACAGCTCCGTGCAGGCGAGCCCGGAAGCCCACAAGCAGCTGAGGGCGGGGACCAGCCCCCCAGAACACACACGGGACCCCAACAACCCCCCACACGGGACTCCAACCCCCCACCTCCCCCACCCCCCATCCCCCCCCACACACGGGATCCCGGCTCACCACCGCCCCCAGCACACTCGGGGCTCCCAGGCAGACCCTGCACACAGACCCCGCCTCCCAACCCCTGCGGGGATCCCCCCAGCTCTGCCGCCTTCAGGCCCAGAGCAGCTGGGTGCTGGCCGGGAACCCCAGGCCGACGCCCTGAGTCTGGGGAATGTGAAGGTGGCTGCCTTGTCACCCACCCACCAGGCCCGGCTCGTCCGTAGGTGGGCAGATGTCCCTGAGCTCGTCCATGGGTGGGTGCCCCTGGGCTCATCTGTGGGTGGGCGTGTGTCCCTGGGCTGGGCTAGTGAAGGGGGGTGTGCACTTTGGGGGCCGGGAGTATGCACCCCCCCGCCGTGGCTGGAGACCTGGCTGGGATGGGGGATGGGAAGGGGACAGCCCCTTCCCCGTCCCCTCCCCCGCAGTTGGGGGCCTGGCTGGCTGGGGCGGGCAGGACTGTTTGCACACCTGCTCCAGCAGCCTCTGCCGTCACGTGGGCCGCCCTCTGCCCTGCGGCGCTTTTCGCAGCCGCAGAGAGTGACCGAGAGGTGGATGGTGAGCCAGGCCCCAGCTCTGGCCATGTCAGAGACTGCTGGCTGCGTGGACGCGGTCTCCCAGCCCTGGGTTCAGGTGGAAAAGGGCTCCGCGGGCGGTGTGCCTGTTGGCAGGGTCAGCCTGCCCGCGGCTGGCAGGGTCATGGGACACGCCTGGCAGAGGTGCAGGGCGGGCAGAGGGCCGCTGCTCACAGGCCATGTCGCCTCCCATGGGAGTCCCTAGAGGACCTGGGGCCCCTCCGGGTCTGTTTCCCCGTTTCCTCAAGGACACGGTTTCTCTGGGCCTCCCAGCCATGAATTCCACATGCGACTGGACTCTCGGGCATTGCCGGGACGGCCGCGCTGGTGTGGCTTTGCGGTTGGGGTCGCTCTGGGGGCTGAGGCGTCACTGGGGGCATACGCGCCCCCCCCCCCCCGGTCTCCACAGCGGGTGAGGAGTGGATGTGGGAACTTCCACGCGCCAGGGCAGGGCCTGGCCGGGACTGGTCACCCGGGAGCCTCCAAGGCGCATCTGTGGTCATCTCCAGGGTGGGCTGGAGCAAGGTCACTGTGTTACTGCCACAGCCTGTGTGCATCACCTCTGCTGGGGAGCCCACCGTCCTGCTCAGCTTCTGCCCAGTGTGTGTGGGCAGTCAGGCCACCTCGCCATGCCGCTCCTGGCAGAGGTGCTGGGGGACACGTGTACATGTGTGTGTGCGCATCTTTGCGTGTGTACGTGTGGGTGTGTGCGGGTGCATGTGTGTGCGTGCTTGTGTGGGTGTGTGTGCAGTGTGTGCACATATGGGTATATGTGTACAAGTGTGTGTCTGTCCCTGACACATGTGGGTGTGTATGCATGCGTGTGCATGTGTGTGCGTGTGTGTCTTGTCTGTCTGTCCCTGGTGCACCTCCCCGCTCTGCTCCCCACATCACAGGCTGTCACAGAGCTGCGGGGGAGTTCTGTTTCTGGGGGCTGGGCTGTTGGAGCCAGGCCGGGCAGCCTGAGGGGACATCCAGGAGCCACTGTGTTGGGGCGAAGCCCTGTGGGGCTCCAAGTCTGTCCTGTCTGTCGTTCGTGTCCACCTCCAGGGCGGTTCGGAAGGTTTTCCGGTGACCCACACAGGATCCAGGCTCGGTGAAGGACAGGCACAGACAGGACCAGCCAGTGGGGGGCACTGGCAGGTGCCCATGTGCCCCAGGCGCTGCCCGCTGCAGCCTGAGGGCATCTCCACGTTGCAGCCCACAGGTGTGGGTGGGCCGTGTTTGGGGCGTGGGTTGTCCCCTCTGGAGAGGGTCTTGGCCATGGGCGTCCCCTGGACTTCCTGTGGCCACATCCTGGCTCAGGCTACTTCTAGGAGCTGCTAACATGACTTCGGGGTTCACACCTGACCGGGCTGGCATTTGAAGTTGTTGACCCAGTGGGAATGAGTGTGCTCTGCCGACCGGTTGGACCAGTGCGCCGAGAAACCCCGTCCCGTCATCGGGCAGCGGCCCTGCCCCGTGATCCCAGCAAAGCCTTCGCCAGAGGCCCAGGGCTGCCCGGGTGCACTGAGGAAGGGGTCTGGCTGTCCATTCCTGGGGAGGGGGCTGGCCTCTGTCCGCATGGGGGGCCGGGTCTCTGGGGTGTGGGCTGAGGTGCGTCTCCCTGCCTGTGGGTCGGGGGTCCCTGAGGCCCGGGAGAGGAGAAAGCGGGGGCTGGGCCGAGGGCCTGGGCCCCCTGGGCTGTGGCTTCCCACACATGCGCAGGGAGGAGGTGAGGGGGGTCTGACTCCAGGCCTGGGGGGGAGCGTGGGAGCTGGCCGGGGTCACTGGCTGCAGGCCCCGGCGGTGCTTGGGCTGTGGCAGGACCTCCCGACCCGGCCCCTTGGGTGGGCGTCAGGGAAGAAGGATCTGGAACCAGCTGTTCTGTTGGACCCCCGCGGGCTGAGTGAGACCCGGGGGGGCGCACGTCCCGGTGACCGCAGGGACCGCAAGGACGTGCTCGGTTGGAGGCCGAGCTCTGTGGTGTTGTGTGTTGTCAGAACACTGAGACACGGGAGGCCAGAACATGCCACACTCCAGGCTTACCATGTGGGAAGTCCAGTCAAGTCGGTGTTAAATGAACGAATGAGTGAATGAACAAATGACTGAATGAATGAGTGAATGAATGAATGAGTGAATGAACACTGATTGAATGAGTGAATGAGCGAATGACTGAGACCATTACCTGTCTCAGATGTAGGGACGGGGCCACTTACCCCGGTTCAGCTCAGCTGGGGCTCCCGGTCAGTTTGTGTCTACTGGATTCGGGGCGTGAAACCCTGTTTTCGTTCCGTGTGAATGTGCCCCGGGGACTTTGCACTGACGCCGTTTCTGTGCTCTGCCTTGGTTAAACTTTCACTCCCGTGGGAAGGAACGCTGCATTGAAGATGAACAAGCTTCCGGAGCCTGCCGAGGCTCAGGGGCCTCGGGTCCTGGTGGTGACCCTGGGGGGTGGCAGCCCAGTGTCATTCTCTAACGCAGAATGGAAAGTAAATTATGGCCGAGTCTGTGGAGGCGCCTGGGCTGTCCCTCACACGTGGCTGTCTCCTGACCTGGCCTGGCCCCGGGCCTCTGCTCTCTCTCTCTCTCTCTCTCTGCATCTTCCCAACTGTCTCCTCTGACTCTGCCGTTTCTCTGCCCTTCCCTGCAGATCTATCAGGTCCAGAAGGTAACTGCTCCCCGCGCATGCCCGCCTCCACGCTCCTCCCGCTCGGCTCAGCAACAGTGCTCAGCCCCCTCGGGCTGCCTGCATGCATGGCTGACAGCCTCTCTACTCAGGAGTCAGTGCTCGAGAAGGAGGCTGGTTCTCGGGCAGTAAGATCACACGCCGGGACACGGGCAGCCCGGCGAGCAAGAGGGGCGAAGGTTTTCCGATCAGGTTCCCATCCGTGAGGTTCGACCTCAGGCCCGGCGGGGAGCGCGCCTGCCCCGCACACAGCTGCTCTGGGCTGGTTCCGGGTCCCGTGTGCTCCCTGAGTCCTACCAGGAGTCAGGCCCGAGCATGGACGGCAGTGGCCACGAAACAGACCAAAAAAGTTGATTACGTAGCGATTGAAAAATCTGAGTGATGGAGTAGAGCGATGCCGGCCGCAGGGAGCCAGAGCTTAAGGCCAGCCCACCCGAGGCGCGAGGCCACAGGCGGGCACACAGGGAGCCGGGTGGCCCTGGAGAGAAACCCCAAGTCACGTGACTCTGTGGCGGGCCCTCCCGCCCAGCGCTGCCCCTTACTACCGCCTACCCCGCTGCTCTGCCTGACAGCCGCGCCCCCGCTCTTGGGAGGGACATGAGGAAATCGAGCGAGAGGACGGCTGCGGGGCTAGGCAGACAGACCAGGCCCAGCTTACTCCGCCCCGGCACCCAGCCCCCCGCCCCCAGCACCCAGCACTTCAGCACCCAGCACCTCAGACCCCGGTCCCCACGCCCGTGGTCCTATGATGCTGCCAGCAGGAGGCAGCTCAGACACCCAGCACTGGCTTCACCTGTGTGCAGCCTGGGTTCAGTCCCCGACACTGTCAAGAAGGAAGAAGAGAAAGAGGAAAGGAGGAAGGAAGGGAGGGAGGAAGGAGGGAGGGAGCAAGCTTGTTTCGGAGTGCACTGGACCCTGAAGTCCCCCAGGACGTCCTCAGCCCTTGGCCCATCTGGGTTCCAGAGTGAGGAGCTGGCTCCTTTTGGAGGAGGGGCCCGTGAGCCGGCGCCACCGCCAGGAGTGACCCCCAAGCCCTCCCAGGCGTGGCCCCGTGTCCATCCCCTGTCCCGAGGGCAGGAATCGCGAGTCCAGAGCGCACAGTGGATGATGTCCATGGAGGTGGGGCGGGGCCTGGCTGGGCCGTGCCCAGAGCGCCAGGGGCCTTGGCTGGGGGCACCGCTTATCACGGCTCCATCCCGCTCACTGCCCACTCTGCGCGGCCAGCATGCCCACAGCTAACCTGCTCTGCCGAGGCTCCGGGTTTGCCGTGCTGCTGTGACTAACCCCGCACGGGGAGGGACGGCCCACGGAGGGGACAGCGGTCACTGGGCTGGACAGAGGGATGCTGCCCTCCCTCCCTCTCTCTCCCTTCTCTCCCTCCCTCTCCTCCCTCTCTCCCTCCGTCTCTCCCTCACGCTCCCTCTCTCTCCCTCCGCCCCTCCCCCTTCCCGCCCCTGCGCATGTGGCAGCAGCTCCAGTTTAAAGGCCGTTTCAGCCGAGTCTAATCTGCTCTCCCTTCCGTCTTCAGAAATATTACGGGCTGGATGCGAGATGGGGTGACATCGAGCAGTGGATGGTAGGCCGGGGCCCCCGGGGGAGTGTCAGGCTTCAGAATTGGATTCCAGGTCGCGTGACTGTCCAGGCCGAGCCCAGGGCCCCGTAATTGAGTTCCGAGAGGCCGGCTGCTGGGCACTCAGCCCGGGGCTGGCCGGGCCTGGCTGTGGCTGGTGGGGGCTGGCCTGGGGGTCTGCAGCCCGCTGCTTTCGGGGCGGGGGGGTGCCCGAGTGCACAGAGGGCTGCAGACCGCTGCGCCCCACCCCGTCAGTTGCCGGACCCCGGCAGTGCCCACTGCCGCTGGGCATCACAGAGAAGCACCTGGAGCCGAGAGGCCCCGCCTGGTGGGACAGACCCCAGAGCAAGCCCGTCCCTGGCCTCCCCCGACCCCCAGAGGCAGGCGGTCTGTGGGGAGAGCGGGTGGTCTCAGGGTGGGGCTGTGGAGGCGGGGACGGCCCCTGGACGCAAACCACCCGGCCTGCCTGCCGGAGAGAGGGGGGCATCGGCAGCCAGCCGCGCCGTCCGCGGCTCACGCGTCCATCCATCCATCTGTCCGTCCGTCCGTCTGACCTTCCCTCTTTCCCTCCCGGCTGCTTTGGCAGGAAGACAGTGAGCACTGCTCTGCCCGGTCCCGGAGACAGTCCTCGGTCAGTGCCCGGGGAAGCCGGAGTCTCTTGGAGCTCTCGGCTCTAACTCGGGGGGGGGGGGGGGGGGTCATGGTTTCAGGGCCTGACCTTGGGGCGTGGCACCATGGTGGCGCCGGGCGGGGTTGGGGTTGGGTTGGGGTCAGGGTCAGGTCGGGGGTCAGGTTGGGGCCGGGGTAGGGTTCAGGGTTGGGGTCGGGTTGGGGTCAGGGTCGGGCTCAGGGTTGGGGTCGGGTTGAAGTTGGGGGTCAGGTCAGGGGTCGGGTTGGGGTCGGGTTGAAGTTGGTGGTCGGGTCGGGGGTCGGGTTGGGGTCGGGGTCGGGCTTGGGCTCAGGCGGCCGCTGCTCTCGCAGCAGGCCCCCGGCTCGTTTGCCGTGTGGGCGTTTCGAGCCTGTCTGGGTCACGGGCACAGCATCGGGGCACTCAGTGCGCCTGAAGCTGCGTGCCCAGAGCAGGCCTGTGTTGGGGAGGGACCCCCGGGTGCCCGCTGGCTCACGCCTGCCCGTCCTCTCTCCCCAGGCCTGTGACATGGAGGAGCGGGCGTCCCTGGGGAGCCGGGGCAGCTGGAGGGTCAGTTCCCACAGTGGCCGGCCTGGCACTGGTCACGGGTCAGGTGCCCCCCGCCCCCCGCCCCCTTCCTGGCCGCACGAGGGGGGCGCTGAAGGGTCTCCCGCTGGGCAGGGCAGGGAACTGGCCCGAGCTGGAGCAGGGTGAGCGCCCCCCTCCACCCCCCCACCCCATTCCGCTCCCCGTCCTGCCTGTCCCTGAGTTCTCACACGCGCAGGAGGCCAGGCCCTGGACAGGGTGAGGCCGCAAGCCTTGCACACGCAGACCTGGGCCCCACCAGGAGGAGCCCGAGTACGCGGGGGTGAAGCGGGAGGGGCTGGCAGCACCTCAGCCCCCGCCTCTGCCCTCCTCCCGCAGTCCCAGCTGGACACGGAGCACAGGGGCGCCTGCGCCTGGGTGAGCTGCCGAGTGCCTGCATGTGCCGTGTGCCGTGTACCGCTAACTCGCATGTTCCCACTAGCCGTGGCTGCAGGGCGGGGGGCCGGGAGCTGGGCTGGGCAGGGCCCCGTGGCACCATCCCGGCCGGGCACCCTCTCCTGGGGGTTGAGTGCCGGCCTCGGGTCACATGTGGGCCCGGCTGCTGTGGACGCAGTAGGGCCGGCGGGCGGCGGGGCTGGGCAGCCAGCCAGGTACCGACTCGGGGGCGTCTGACGCGGGGACATGCCCTCGGCCCCTGCCCACAGGAGCAAGGCCCGGCCGGACAGTCCCAGTCATAGCTTGGCTTTGCGCCTTTCTAGAAGTTTCTTCACGTTTCTCTCCCATTGCCATCAGGAAGGCAGACGGGACGGGAGGCGCCACGGGAGGAGTGCCCTGGGCTTCCGTGTCTGGGCCGTGGGGCGGCTTGTGCTGGGCTGAGCATGTCCCGTCCCCAGCCCACCCGCCGCGCCCGGTGCTGCCTTATCAAGCTCTCGCAGGGTCGCACCTCATCTGTGAGATGCAGCTCCATAACCATGCACCCAGCCCGGGGCGGGGGCTTCCTCGCCCCCCCTCACCGTCGGGGTGCAGTGCGGGGCCGGCCGAGGCGCTTCCTGCCAGTTCAGCCCCGAGGGGAGCAGGAGGGGTCGCGCTGCATCCTGGGATGGGACGGTGGCAGAGCGCGGCGGGGGGTCCTGAGATTCATCCTGGTGCTCTCGGCATTTGCAGGGGCTGAACTGAGAGCCCCATGTCCGGCTCAGACCGCGCGCCCCTCCCCCGTCTCGGCTCCCGCCCGCCCGCTGCCTCCCGTTGCCCTGTGGAGGGCGTGACGAGCGGGTATCTCTGCCCTCTGAGCTTTCCATTGTCTTGGTTCTGGACCAGGCCCGAGTGCTCAGGGCTTACTCCGGGCCCTGCACGCGGGAATCACTCCCGGGGAGTGTGTGGGACGCCGGGATTGAACCCCCTCAGCTGTGTCTGCGCAGAGTGTCCCGGGAAGATCTTTAGCTACTGAGATGACATTTGTCCCTAGTTTTGTTTTCCACTGATGGATGATATCCCCCCCACACACACATACACACACTCTGGGCCAGTCTCCTGGGGGTCCACTCTCGTCCTGGCTGGCCACTTGGCCCCCTGTTCAGCCGCCCTGTGTGTTACGGCCTGGCCTGCAGGTCCTCTGATGGCCCCAGATGTGTGGTTCTGCCACACTCGGTGGGGGCAGCAGTGTGGGTCCTCTAGGCCCCTGCCCCTGCCATGGCCAGTGTGTGTGTGTGTGTGTGTGTGTGTGTGTGTGTGTGAGCTCACACGTGTGTGTGTATGCGGGACACAGCTCGTGCTCACATGCATGTGTTCAGGGCCTGGAGCCCTGGGGTGGGGCCACACGCTGCGTTTCCACGTGGTTCCAGTGTGGCAGTGTGGCTCAGACATGCTGCTCTGAGCTGCCGTGGGGAGACACTGAGGACCCTCCGATGCACTTCCCCAAGGGGACTGGGCAGAAGCGGGCCCCCCTCAGAAGAGGACCCAGGAGGGGCCCGTGGCTGACAGGAAATGTGGCTGCGAAGGTGGGGGGGCCCAGTAGGGGGCCCCCAGGGCGCCCCCTGGAGCAGTGTCAGTGTGGCCCCACGTGCTCTCGGCACACTCGCTCTGCCGTGGCTTCCAGCTTGTGGCTGACCAGGGCGCTCCCTGCTCCAGCTGTGGAGGCCGCTGTGACTGCTGCCCCTCGCAGGTGAGACCGAGGCCCCGTAGGTGCTCAGGGTGGACGCAGGACCAGGAGGGAATCATCCCGGGTGCACAGACAGTGCAAAGTCGCCCTGAGAGCGTCACAGCGTCGCTCCATGCACCACGTGGGGTGCGGGACTCCGAGCGAGAGCTAAGCGCCCCCCCCCCCCCGTGCATCCCTGAGCAGGACCCTGGGGACACACTCACCTGAGGGCCTTCCTCGCCCAGCTTGGCCTCTGACCCGTGCCCCGCTCTGGCACAGCCGGGCTGGCTGCGTTGTGCCTTGATTGCCGCTAGCGTGGACAGAGGGGACGGGGGGAGAGAAGGGGGTCAGTAGGGAAAGCCCCCCTGACTGCTTTGGGGCTCGGAATTCCAGCCACAGCCGAGACCCGGGCAGATTCTCGGCGTCATCTTGCCCATGGGAGGAGATGTTGGTGGGTGCCAGCCCAGCCTGAGCTCTGAGGGGCAGCGGGTCTCGGGCGCGTGTGGGGACTCGCTTCTCTCCCGACGCCTCACACACACACACACACACACACACACACACACACACAGTCACACAGACTTGCACACACACGCACAAACACACGCTCACACTCACACTCAGAACACGGGCGCCCCTGGAGCGTCACTGCAACGCAGCAGTTTCCGGCAATCCGGGTCCCTGTCCGACCCAGCACCGTCCCTGGGCCCCGGGAAACGGCCCCGCGAGGCGCAGCGGCTGAGACCCTCAGTCCTGGGGGGAGGCAGGCCCTGGCTGAGCGAGAAGCAATTCCCCAGCAGGAAGCCGCAGCAGGATGTGAGCGACCAGGGAAGAGGAATAAATAGAATCGAGCCGGGCCGGGCCCCTTCCTCACCTCCGCCCCCCGGGCCCAGCTGGACACTCGGGCAGCGCGTGCCCACGGGGCCCCGCCTGCAGAAACGCACGGACGTGGTCCCGGGGGTCCCCCGGCCAGGCTCCCTGGGCTCGTGGGAGGCCACGCCGCCCATCCTGCCCACGGTTTGTCGTGCCAGGAGAGATGTGTGACCGAAGTGCATGGGTGCGCGTGTCCCCCGACCTTAGGCGGCGGGGCTTGAGGATGGCCCCTGGTGTTGGTTCTGATGAGCGGGAACCCGGGCGCCTTTGCCGGTTCCCGCACGGCTGCCCTTCCTGCTTGCGCTGCAGGGCCTGTCAGGAGCGTGGATTGCCTGTTGGTTTGCTGTGGGTTCCCTGCAGGTTTGCTGTGGGTTTGCTGCAATTTTGTTGCAGGTTTGCTGCAATTTTGTTGCCGGCTTGCTGCAATTTTGTTGCAGGTTTGCTGCAGATTTGCTGTGGGTTTGCTGCAATTTTGTTGCAAATTTGCTGCAATTTTGTTGCAGGTTCTACAGGTTTGCTGTGGGTTTGCTGCGGGTTTGCTGCAGGTTTGCAGTGTCCCGCTCAGAGAGGGACAGAGCTGACCCTTCGCTTCACCCCACTCTCTCTCATTCCAGGGACTCTCCGGCTCCGTCCTCAGCCTGTCCAGCGGTGGCCTTGCTTCTCAGGCCTGGCCAGCCCAGAACGGAAGCTGGGTGTGTCCCTTGCCTCTGGCTTTCACCCTCCTGCGGGGACCCCGGAGATGACACACTTCAGGCTTTTTCTCTCTGTTTTCACTTTGGGGGCCACACCTCGCGGAACGCAGCCCGATTGGCTGCCCTCAGAGAGCAGGACTGTTGTGCCTGCTGGCCGTATCCTGCCCGGCCTCTCCGCCTGCCAGCAATTGCTCCCGGCTGGGTTCGCGCCTGGGCACAACAGGCGTCCAGGAAACAACCTGGAAAGCACCGAGCAGAGCCCCCCCAACCCCCCACCGCTCTCCGGGAAGCGGGCGCCCCTTCCCTGTGCAGGAGGGTGCACCCGCCCGGCCCTCATGCCGGCACGCACATCCCTACCCCGCACACAGATGCTGAGCTGGGTGCACGGCCCCACACTCACCCTAGAAAAGGCCTTTCTGCTGGGCACCTCCTGCGGTCTAGACTTCTGTCCACTGAAGATAGGGCGGCTCCTGCTCCATCCCATAGTACTCCCGGTCCCCTGCTCCATCCCACAGTGCTCCCGGTCCCCTGCACCATCCCACAGTGCTCCCGGTCCCCTGCTCCATCCCACAGTGCTCCCAGTCCCCTGCTCCATCCTACAGTACTCCCGGGACCCTGCTCCATCCCACAGTGCTCCCAGGACCTTGCTACGTCCCACAGTGCTCCCGAGCCCCTGCTCCATTCACAGTGCTCCCAAGCCCCTGTTTTATCCCACAGTGCTCTCGAGGCCCCTGCTCTGTCCCACAGTGCTCCTGGGGCCCCTGCTCCATCCCATTGACAGCCTGTGGCTACCCTCCAACCGTGGGTGGTGGAGCCGTGGCGAGCCCTGTGGCGTGGCTGTGGGCTTGGCCTGCGTGCCCACACCTGCCGGCAGGGTCAGTGGGAGGAGCAGGCCCGGCCCCACAGCCGTTGGACAGGCCACCCGCTCTTCTGACCAAAGTTTCGTCCAGCCTCCAGGGGCGTCTCCACCGTGGACGGGGTCCCGCCCTGCCCTCTTCCCTCGGGAGGCTGTCGGGGCTGGGGGCGTGGACAGGCCCCTCTTGACCATCTGTCTTGCCCTAGGGGACGCCATGGGGGGACAGCAACATCCTGGACGGGCCCCGGCGGGCCAGCGTCTGCGCGCCCCTCGCTGTAAGGCCTGGCTGTGTGTGCCGTGCTCTGTCCCCTGCATGACCCGGCCTTCCGTCTGGGCACGCGTGTGACCTGCTTGCCGGCTAGCGAGCACTGCTGGCATTGGGCTCTGGACAGTGTGGGCTTCGCCTCCCGCCTCAGGCCACCCCCCAGCACGGGGATACCCACTAACGGAGGGGTCATCTCCGTGGCCAGGGAGAGGGTCCCCGGGCACAAGGCCTCCCCGCGTCCACACCGCTTGCCTCTCCCCTCCGTCGGCAGCACCCGGGGGCCGCGGGTCACAGCTCCGGCATCTGCACCCCCATCCCTCGTACTAAAGACACTGGGTGTGGTTTGACGTATTTTGTGTGTGGAACTAACTGGCTACTCACCTGAGTGACACATTAATGCAGTTAGGGTGCTTCTGTCTGTCTGTCTGTCTGTCTGGGGCCACACCTGGGATGCTCGGGGCTGAGTCCCGGCTCTGTGCTCAGGGCTCACTCCTGGCTCTGTGCTCAGGGCTCATACCCGGCTCTGTGCTCAGGGCTCACTCCCGGCTCTGTGCTCGGGGCTCACTCCCGGCTCTGTGCTGACTCCCGGGTCTGTGCTCAGGACTCACTCCTGGCTCTGTGCTCAGGGCTCACTCCCGGCTTTTTGCTCGGGGCTGATTCCCGGCTCTGTGCTCAGAGCTGACTCCCGGCTCTGTGCTCGGGCTCTCTCCTGGCGGGCTTGGGGCACCATTCGGATGTCGGGGATCAGACCCAGGTCAACAGAAAAAACGCTCCCCTGCGCTCTCCCTCTGGTATATTTCACTCTGACCACGGTATTTATACAGCCATAAACTTTGAGGATTTCTTATGGAACAAGCTCATCTAACCTAGAGATTTCTATTAGAATCAATTTTTTTTTTCCGGCTGATCTGCCCACCGATGGCATCAGGAACGCTGGTTTAGTTGGCGGCTGATCAAGCGTGGATCAGCTCCCGCCGTATAACCTTCCCGGGCTCCAGCGTGGGCTGCCTGGAACCCAGGGGCGGCCAGAGAGCTGCTCCCCCACAGGGCCTCGGGAAGGGACGGACACTTACCTAGCATGGAGGGCACTGGATGCGTGTCAACTGACATCCCTGGGAAGCTGGTTGCGGGCGCGTGTCTGGTGGACTCTCCGTGGGTCGGGGTGTCCCCTGGGAAGCTGGTCGCAGATGTGCTTCTCCTGGAGTAGCTGCTGACCGCGACGGTGACCGCGCTTTGGGGCTCAGACGTTGGTCTCAGCGCTGACCCGGGGATGGCCGGCAGGGAGCTCTGAGACAGGCGCGTGGTAGGCCAGACCCTCAGCCTGCCAGTGCCCGGCCTGGGCCGCGGGAGCTGCGGGCAGGCTCTGCCTGCTGTCCGTCATGGCCACGAGGCCTCTGCAGGGACATGTGTGGCGTCAGCATCCTGCATGCACCAGAGCACAGGGGGCTCTGCACCCACACTGAGGGAGCAGGGAGCGTGTCCCTGGGCAGTGTCCAGCATCAGGTTGGGATGGCCGGGCAGTGTCCAGTGTCAGATTGAGATGGCCGGGTAGTGTCTGGCGTCAGGCTGGCCCGGCATCTGTGCACAGGGATCTCCTGCCTGTGTGTGGGCGGGTCCCTGGACCCTCGCAGGCTCTGGGAGGTCCCAGATGGAGACTGAGGCAGGGCTACCAGGGTTGCCGTGAAGAAGGGGGAGTGTGAGTGTTGGGGGCTCCGAGCCTGAGCCCCACAGCCTGCGGCCCAGGGGCTTCCTCTGTGGGCACCCTCTGCAGTGCTCACGGGGCTGGGAGGGGCGAGGGCCCCGTGCACCTGCAGCTCCTGGCTGGGCTTCTCTCAGCCGCGACCCCCCACGCTCGGTCCTGCCATGGCCACGAGGTGCCCCTTTCGCCCTGAGTTTTGTTGTTTCTTTGGGGGTGTTGGGGCCACACCCGCTGTGCTGCCCCCAGCCCCGGTCCGTGGGGTTTTGTTTGTTTGCCTGGGCCACTGCAGTGCTCGGGGCGCAGTCCTGCTCTGCACTCGGCTCCCTCCCAGCGGGCTCAGGGGGCGTGTGGGTGAGCCTCGTGCAAGGCCAGCGCCCTCCTCGCTGCCCTCTCTTGGGCCCCTTTCCCTGTCCTCTGGGCGCCTGGCGGGCGAGCAGGCCTCCTCTCCTGCCGCTGCTGACCGGCCCCTGCCTCTGCCTCTGTCCTGCGCTGCTGACCGGCTCTGTCTGTCCTTCTGTCCTGCGCTGTGGCAGCCCTCGGAGCACGGCCTCAACTCCGGCTCTCGCGCCTCCTCCAGGGCCAGTTCTGCGCGGGCCAGCCCCGTGGTAAGTGCCACCCGCGCCCGACTCTGCTCCTCTTCCTCTGCCCTGCCCACTCCTCCTCCTCCTCCTCCTCCCCTTCCTCCTCCTCCTCCTCCTCCCCTTCCTGCTCCTGCTCTTTCGCCTGCCCCCCCCCCATGGCCGGCTGTCCGGGCTGCAGTAAGAGCAGGGGACACTGGGGCGCCTGCTCCTGGCAGGGTCACCTTGGGGCTCTGTGGGCCTCTGGGAAGTCACTTGGCCTGGAGCTGGGACAGGACATGGGGACGCAGCCCTAGCAGGGCAGACATGGGCAGGTGTCAGGGCTCCGCTGCGTCTGGGCTTGGTCTTGGGCCCCAGCCCTGCTGCCCCCCAGCTGCCCACTGTCCCCCAGAGCCCACTGCTATGTCTCAGCAGGACTCGGCCTGGGCCCTGCTCCGGACATGGAGGTGCCCTGGCCGCTCCCTGGGGAGCTCAGCCTGTCCACACTGTCCCCTCAGGGGCGGTCTGGCCACAGGGAGCGTTTGGGGGCATTTCTTGCTCCTTTTCTCTCCAGTTCTGAATTGAGGCTGAGACCGTGTGCTAAGTGCACACGGTCCTGGGGGACCGGGGAGCTGGGTCGGGGGGTGCCTGAGCCTGCCAGGGCTGGGGAGCAGGGTCAGCGGGGGGTCTGAGGCCTGGAGGCCAGGGAGTGGACCAGGGCAGGTCTCCTCAGCACAGTGAGCGGCTGCTGCCTCTCGAGTGGGCAGGTCTGGGCACCGAGTGACGTGTGCTGGTCGGGGGGTGGGGCTCCCCATTGGGCGCTCCTGGGGCCTTAGGGCGCAAGGCCCTCTGGAATGGCCTGGGTGGGCTTCCAGGCCTCCCTGCACTGCCCTACTGTCAGACCCTGTGACCCCTCCGGCCCCCACCAGCAGCCCCTGCGCTGGTGTCCAGCTGCCCCTGTGAGCACCTAATGGCTTCAGTGGCCACAGATGGGACTTGAGGCTTGGGGTCCAGCAGACACATGTAAGGCTGGACTGGGCAGCGTGGACAGGGGGGCCTCGGGACATTGGGGATGCACAGAAGGTGCCCCCAGCAGCCACCCTGGCAGGGGAATGACCTGTTTCCGAAGGACCACCCGGGACATACAAGGGCGAGGGCCCCTGGGGGTCTCCAGCCCGTGGCCAGAGCTGCAGGTCAGGTTCCCCCGTGAGCAGGGCTGAGGGGAGGAGTGGGTCATGTTGCGAGCCTCAAGGTGGGGGGGGGGGCTAAGCCCACAGTGCCCACCGCCCACCACCCTCTTTACTTAGGAGAAGCATCACCCTTGCATGGAGGTTTATTGAGCCACGTTCAGCTGGGCCCTTTGTCCCTCAAGGCGCCGTGGAGGTGGCCGGCGGCCAGCCCCTGTGGATGACATTACCCAGCCACGCCCCCATCCGCTGGCGCCGCGGGCGCTCTAGGCTGCCACCTGGTGGGCGTGCGCGGGGCCACAGCGGCCGGGCTGCCCCCTGCCGCTACCTCCTGCGAGTCTGCCCCCCACAGTGTCCACCCAGCCCTGTCTTCTTGTTTTAGGTTCTTGATCTCAGAGCGCAGGCCTGGTTATTTTTTTTGTCCTTTAAGCACTCAGGTTTAAGGAACAAGCAGTGGTTTTTGTTTTGGGGGCCACACTGCCCAGGGGTGCTCCTGGCTCTGCTTAGGGTCACGCTCCGTGTTTGGGGGTGTAACATGCGGTGCCAAGGCTCCAGCCCGGCTCCCCGTGCACTGGGCGGGCTCCACACGGCCGCCTCCCAGCGCTGCAGCTTTTTTCATGGGGTCCCCCGCCCCCGATCCTCAATCTGCGCCCCCCAGGACTATGCCCGGCGCTGCCCAGGGGTCCATATGGGATGCCGGGGAGTGAACCTGCCACGTGCAGGGCAAGCGCCCTCCCCGCCGCTCCAGCCCGGGGGGTGGGGGGAAGCCAGAATCCCACCGTGCCCTCGCTTCGATGTTCCGGGAGCTCACCGTGCTGCCTGCCCTCCCCCACAGGTGGAAGAGCGCCCGGAGAAGGAGTTCGCCGAGAAGGTGAGGGGGGCCTGGACCAGCTGGGGAAGGGGGCGTGGCCTGGGCGAGAGGGCGGGGCCTTGACAGTGGGTGGGGCCAGGGCAATGGGGCGGGGCCTCGGTAAGGGGTATGGCCTGAGTAGAGGGGTGGGGCCAGGAAGGGGCAGGGCTTGGGTAAGTGGGCGGGGCCAGGGTGGGGCCCAGGAAGAGGAGGGGCCTGGGTGGTGAGCGGGGCCAGGGCTAAGGGTGGGGCCAGGAGGGGGCAGGGTCTGGGTAAGTGGGCAGGGCCAGGGCAATGGGGCGGGGCCTCGGTAAGGGGTATGGCCTGAGTAGAGGGGTGGGGCCAGGAAGGGGCAGGGCTTGGGTAAGTGGGCGGGGCCGGGTGGGGCCCAGAAAGGGGAGGGGCCTGTGGTGGGAGGGGCCTGGGTGGTGGGCGGGGCCAGGGCTAAGGGTGGGGCCAGGAGGGGGCAGGGTCTGGGTAAGTGGGCAGGGCCAGGGCAATGGGGCGGGGCCTCGGTAAGGGGTATGGCCTGAGTAGAGGGGTGGGGCCAGGAAGGGGCAGGGCTTGGGTAAGTGGGCGGGGCCAGGGTGGGGCCCAGGAAGGGGAGGGGCCTGGGTGGTGGGAGGGGCCTGGGTGGTGGGCGGGGCCAGGGCTAAGGGTGGGGCCAGGAGGGGGCAGGGTCTGGGTAAGTGGGCAGGGCCAGGGCAATGGGGCGGGGCCTCGGTAAGGGGTATGGCCTGAGTAGAGGGGTGGGGCCAGGAAGGGGCAGGGCTTGGGTAAGTGGGCGGGGCCAGGGTGGGGCCCAGGAAGGGACAGGGCCTGGGTAAGTGGGAGGGGCCTGGGTGGTGGGCGGGGCCAGGGCTAAGGGTGGGGGCAGGGTCTGGGTAAGTGGGCAGGGCCAGGGCAATGGGGCGGGGCCTCGGTAAGGGGTAGGGCCTGAGTAAAGGGACGGGGCCAGGTAGTGTGTAATGGGCGGGGTCGGGTTGAAAGTGTCCGGTCCTGGGGGCAGACTTGGTGGTCAGGCCTGAGGGAGGTTGCAGACCCCCCCTCACCCCGCGAGCCCTTGAGGGACGTCAGCGGCACGTCCTCACAGCACATGTGAGGCGCTGACCCCGGCTTTCTGCCCTCTGCTCCAGGCGTCTCGGAATCTGCCCAGCCTGTCTGCTGCTACGCTGGCCTCCCTGGGCGGGGGCACGTCCCGGCGGAACAGTGGCGACACCTGCACCTCCGTGGACACCGAGGCGTCCGTCCGGGAGATGCGGGTGAGTGGTCCCTGCCCGCCACCTCACAGCAGCCTCCCGTGAGTCCAGCCCGGCCCACCAGAACCAGTCAGCTGCCCACCTGGAGAAGCTGGCAAACCTGGGGCAGGGCTGGCCTGCCTGGCAAGGGCCACAGAGATACGCAGGCCACTTTCATGGGCGGGCATCCCTCTCTTCTCCCCTGGCCCCACACTCCTGCCCAGGACCCGCTGTCCTCCGCTCCAGCCATGGCCTCAGAATGGGCATGGTGGGTGCCACTGGAGTGGCCACGATACTGTCCCCTTCACCCAGTGCTGGGAGCCCCAGCAGGGATCTGGCAGTCCGGGCTGGCTGTGTTTCTGGAGGAGCTTCTGCCTTTAAGCACCAGTGTGGGCACTGGCAGGGGACATAAAGGACCTCCCTCCCCAGCTGTCTTCTGCTCCTCGGCTGGCAGGAACCGCGTGTTGTGGGCCCCGTTGGGGTATCCAGCCCAGCTGAGCATGCCACAACTTCGCCCCAGGCACCTGAACACATTTGTGGTTCATGTGCATGTATGTGTGTGTGTGGTATGCGTGTGTGTGTGTGTGTGTGTACGTGTACGTGTACGTGTGTGTGCAGGGTATGGCTTAGCCACAACTGGACCCCCTGAGTGTGGGGAGCCCCACCCCGCAGTGGGCAGAGCTGGACCCTGCCGATGGGTTTCACAAAATGGTCACAGATGAACCAGCCCCATTTCCCGAAGCCCTTGGCCCGTTTTCCCAACTGGTGCCGGAACATCCCCTGAGGTACAACTAGATTTGCATCTTGGTGGTGCTGGGTTGATTTCATTACTGAGAACCGTAATGTTCAGTTTTTAAAAACAGGACTCTTACATTCGTGCAAGTGGATCTGTTTACCCCCTTGATGCTAAAAAAGTTGAAAAGAAACCGCGGCCCTGGGGGTCCCGCCCGCACCCCGCCTCACTGCCCTTTGTGCCGTCCCCAGGAGCTCAGTGAGTTGCAGGAGCAGATTCAGGATGTCGAAGGCAAATACATGCAGGGGCTGAAAGAGATGAAGGTACCAGCCTCGCGCGTGGGCACTCGCACCGCGTGCCCCGCGCCCGCCAGCCGCGGAAGGCCCCAGGCGGCAGGAATGTTGCATGGTGTGAGACCCCCACCCCGACTCCCACTAACAGCCTGCCAGGGCATGGCCTGTCCCTCACCCCGCCAACTCTGGGTTCCCCCAGTTGGTCACTCCGGAGGGCCGCCGTTTCCACCACTGCCCCCTGCAGCTGTGCCCTCGGGTGACACTGCGCAGTGTCCTCAGGATGCTGGGCTGAGGGCCGGTCGTCCTGGGAACACATTTCCAAAGTGTACTTCCCGCCCCGTCCCCGTGACGCCCCGCCCTGCTCCTTGGAGCACCCTGCAGGCGGCCACCTGCAGAGCGTCACCTGTCCTTGAGGCAGGGAGGGCTGAGACGGGCTCTGAAGTCAGAAGCTGCTGGGCCGTGGTGGAGCCACAGCCGCCCTCCAGTCTGGGTTGCAAGTACAGGTGAGGCCGTGCTGGCCTCCGCGGACTCCTGGGCTCCCCAGCACAGCCTCCTCTTAGCCTGGGGTGCTCTGCCCCACCCGCTCCCGGCCACCCCTGAAGGCCGGGGACAGACGCAGGGGAGCCCAGGAGGGACTCAGAGCTGAGCTTTCCCGGTCCAGCCCTGCCCAGTGCAAGCGACTGGGCGCAGACTCCGGCCCACGCTGAACGCACACGCCAGGCGGGACATGGGGAGTATCCGCGTCCGCCCCTGCCCTGGTTCTGTCTTGAGAACCCAAAGAGCAGAGCCCCATCCCCTCCGGCCCACGGCTCCAGCCCCCGCGTGGTCCTGGCATGGGTGTCCTTTGCCCTAATGTCCACAGGCCATTTCCTCCCCAGGCGTGACTAACCCACAGTGCTCGAGCAGGGGGTTTCGCCACTGGCCGCCGCGTGCTTCTGACTCACCGTTGCTCTAAGAGCCCAGGCTTCCCTTTAGAGCCGAGCGAGCTGCTGCAGATCTGGGTGTAAGAAACTAAGACGGGCCGGAGAGGTCGGCCAGCAGGGGAGGTGCTTGCCTTCTTGCACGAGGCCACCGGGGTTCACTCTTCACCCCGGACGGTCCCCTGAGCCTGCCAGGAGTGATCCCTGAGTGCGGAGCCAGGAGTGAGCCCCGAGCACCGCCAGGTGTGACCAAATAGAAATAAATCAAACCAAGGACAGCAAAGCTGATCTTGGCCTCCGGTTCCTCCTCGTGTCCAACTGCGGGCCGGTTTCCGCAGGACTCGCTACTAGAAGCCGAGGAAAAGTACAAGAAGGCCATGGTTTCCAACGCGCAGCTCGACAACGAGAAGACCAACTTCATGTACCAGGTTGACACCCTCAAAGACATGCTCCTGGAACTGGAGGAGCAGCTGGCGGAGTCTCAGCGGCAGTGCGAGGAGAAGAGCAAGGTCAGTGCCACAGTGAGAAAGCGCGCGCGCGCACACACACACAAACACACACACACACACCTGCATATACATATACACACGCTCACCTGCATATACGCATTCACGCACACACGTTCAGCTACAGATACACATTCATGCATACACACCTGCATGTGTACTCTTTCACCTGTGTGTACACACTCACCTGCGTATATACATGCATGCACACACTCGTCTGCGTATACACATTCATGCACACGCACTCACCTGCATATGTACTCTTTCACCGACATGTACACACTCGTCTGCGTGTACATATCCATGCACACACTCGTCTGTGTATACACATTCACGTGCACACCCGTAGGCGTACACACATTCAGACGCACACTCATCTGTGCATACTCACATACACTCACCTGTGTATACGCGTTCGTGCATACACACTCACATTCATGCATACACACTCGTCTGCATATACACATTCAGGCACACACGCATCTGGGCAGACACACCTTCTCACGTGCGTATACACATTCATGCGCACACACACTCCCCTATCTTCTGTATTTAAAAACAAGACGATGGCGATGGCCCTGCAGCCCCTCCCGCCTGGTCCTGGAAGGGCAGGATTGAGCCTCAGGTGCCAGTCCTGAGAAGTGGGCAGAGCCTCGGGTCCAGCCCGGGTGGCGCTGGCCGAGTGGGCGGGTCGTCACACGGTCCAAGGGATCCCAAGGCCCAGACTCCGCAGGGCGGTGACGGGCATCACGTCTCACAGACGCGGCCAGGCCACACTGGGGGAGTCGGGGGTCTCCGCGCCCGGGGGCCCCCACCTTTCCTCCGTGTGGCCCCGGGGCCGCCGTGAGACGAGGCCCCCCGAGGCTTTCACGGGGCGCCCCCCTCAGTGCCCTGCCGCCCACAGGAGCTCGAGCGCGAGAAACACGCCCACAGCGTGCTGCAGTTCCAGTTCGCCGAGGTCAAGGAGGCGCTGAAGCAGCGAGAGGAGATGCTGGAGGTGGGGAGCGGCCGGGGCCTGCCCGGCACACTGCGCAGAGGGGGAGGGCGGGCGCAGAGGGAGGCTGATGGGCGTGCGCAGGGAGATGGGACGCCAGCAGAGACTATAGGCGCGTGCAGGAGTCTGACTCGGGGAGTGGCCTGGTCCTTCCCTGGGCACACTGCGCGGAGGGGGATGGGTGAGCAGAGGAAGCAGGAGATAGTGCTCGGAGGGAGATGAACGGACACGCGAGGGAGACGATCAAGGCCCGGCCTTGGTCGAGGCGCAGGTGCGGGACGGGTCTGTGGGGGTGCTCAGAGAGACAGCGGCGGCCAAGTGAGGCCCTCAGCATGGCCACGGCCCAGTGCCGGACCCTCCAAGCAGGGCCGCGGGCTGGGCAGCAGAGATGGGCCCAGGTCGGAGGCTGCCAGGGCGGGCCGGGATCCCCAAGGCTCGAGAGGGACAGTCCCTGAGGCGCCGTGAGGTTGTAGCCCCAGTGAGCGGCCCCAGGGGCTGGCCGGGCCCTTCAGGCTCTGACTGGAAGCACAGGCAGTGACGTTGGGGGCTCAGTGACCTCAGGGGCTCAGTGATCTGGGGGGGGGCTTAGTGACCTCGGGGGCTCAGTGACCTTGGGGGGGCTCAGTGACCTCGGGGGCTCAGTGACCTCAGGGACAGTGACCTCGGGGGCTCAGTGACCTTGGGGGGGCTCAGTGACCTCGGGGGCAGTGCTGCCCGCCTAACTCTGCAGCTTTCTCCCGTCCGTCCGCTCCTCAGGAGATCCGGCAGCTCCAGCACAAGCAGGCGGGCCTTGTCAGGGAGATCTCTGACCTGCAGGAGACCATAGAGTGGAAAGACAAAAAGATAGGGGTAGGCGGGGTCGGCCACACCCCAGCATGCCTGGAATTAGGGGCCCCGCACTCGCCGGGTGCTGGTACCCGCACCTGAGCCTGCTTCCCCGGCCCGGAGATGCGAGGGTGTGAGGACCATGGGGAGGGGTCGGCCGGGCTGCCCACAGTCCGTTCCAGCCTCAACTCACCCCCCCACCTCTGCCTCCCCGCCCCGACCCTGCAGACGATGCAGAGTGGCGGGTGCTGGGTGCCCCTGGAGCCCTCAGACTCTCCCTGAAAAAGTAGAGGCGCCCCAGCTGCCTTGTGGGGTGCTGGCGGGGGAGAGGAGCCATGCAGAGTGGCCCCCAGGGGCCCGACAGCAGGACTGGCCCCGTGGACGGCCGCGGGCCTGTCTGTCCATCCCGCATGGAGCCCCCAGAGTCCGCGGCCTGACCCTCTCGGGAGGCCTGGGTGCATGTCTGCCTGCCTGTCTGCATGGCACACATTCCTGTCGCTTCCTGTCCCTGGTCGTAGTCCCCATCACAGCCGGCTCGCTGGGCCGCGCCCGGGGCAGTGCGTGCAGTGGCAGTTCCGCGGGCTGTGTTCGCGCTGTGTCTGTGTCGTGTCTGCGTGCCGACTGCGGCCACCCTCTCTCTCGCCCTCTCCTTCCCTCTCCTTTTCTCTCTCTGCTCACCGGCACACTCAGGCGTTAGAGAGGCAGAAAGAATTCTTTGACTCTGTACGGAGTGAACGAGACGATCTTAGAGAAGAAGTAGTCAAGCTGAAAGAGGGACTGAAGGTACGAAGCCACAGCGCAGAGCACTCGGGGTGCTCAGGCCCCTGAGCCCCAGGACGTGCTCTCCGGGCTCAGTCTAAACCGTTTTCTCATGCCCAGGACAGCACGGAAGTGAGCGAGTGTCTGTTCCTGTACGTGTGCAAAGGCGCTTCTCTGCCGAGAACCGCGTGGGTTAGGTCTGGGGCAGAGGGGGCCGCGGATCAGGCCCGAGGGTCCCGTGGCTTCTAGGCGGGTCCTTGTCCCACCTGCACAGTGTCAGAGGCTGCTGGGGGCAGCTTGGGGACTGGTCTGGGGGAGATCGGGGTTTCCTTGCTGAGACCCTGAAAATGTGTTTCAGCCGCTCAGCGGCCAGAGGTCAAGGCCAGAGCCGTAAAGGAGCGAGAAGGGGCTGAGAACCAGGGTTCCCGGTGCGGCTCCACCCCAGGCCAAGAGTATGCCGGGGCTTTCTGGGCCCCTGGAAAGGAGCAGACTGGCGCACCTGGGTCCCGGGGCCAGGCGGTTTCCAGTGTGGTTCTCTGGACGATTCCTCGAGCACCTTCTCTGTCTTTCCTTCGTCCCTTGCCCAGCACAAGCTTCTTGGCTTTCTTACCTATTGCTGTTTGATTTCTGGCTTTTTGGTCCTGGGGATTGAGATCAGAGGCTCAAAAGACCGACCTAGCCACTCTGCCCCAGCCCCTCTCCAAGGGTGCAGCCAGACTTCCAGAGTCCGTGTCCGGGCTGGCCCCCGCCCCCGTGCTCTCCCTAGAGGAAAGGTGCAGGGGGTCCCCAGCTCGCTCCTCCCAGGGTGACGCGTGTGGCCGTGGGCTGTTCCCCAGGCGGCCACCCTTCTCATTACTCTGCAGTTCTGGCCCTCAGGGAAAAGCAGTTTTCTGAATTTTTGTGAGGTCGGCTTTGACCTCTCGCCCCGCGGGGGTCACCACGCGCCTGTTTTTGTTCCCAGAAACATGGAATAATTCTCAATTCAGAAACAGCCACCAACGGGGAGACACCCTGCACGCTAGCGGACGCCGTGCACCCAAGTCTCGCCAGCGCCAGCAGAGAGGGGCTCGGCGCCCTCCCGGCCGCGGGAGACGGCGCTCCAGGTAAGCGTGGCCACCGCCCGTGGGCTCTCATCCGTCCGCATGATCGCCTGCGTGTGGCCTCGGTTCAGTGTCCCGCAGCATGGCTGGCCCCTCCACGGACGCTGCCGCATGATGTCTTTGGCACGCTCGCCTCACGCTGCTCGGGGCTCCGAGTCCCTGCCGTCCCGACGGTCCGAGGCGACGAAGGGGCCGGTGGCCAGGGCCGCACATCGGCGGGGCCTGCTTGGAGAGTTCGGGGTGTGGCGTGGTGGGGAGTGGACAGCCAGCCAGGGGCATAGACAGCCGAGGCTGGGGGCGGTCAGGGTGCCCTCCCGGCCAGTGACACTGGGCCTGTCCTCTCAGCGCTGAGCCCTCCAGATGGCACCCTGAGGCTTCCGGGTGGGCTCTGCTGTGGGCAGCTGGGCTGGCGGATCCCTAGTGCAGGATCTGTCATCGGGATGGCTCGGAGCGTGTCTGGGTTCCGGGCCGTCTGCCAAGCGTCTCCCTGGTCCTGGGACCAGTATCCTTCCGGCTCCTGGCACGAGGCTCCGAGCTCAGGGCCAGGGTCCGCCCAGGAAGCGGCTCATCTGTCTCTCCGTGGTTGGCCATGGGCTTCTGGGCTGCAGTGCCTTGGGCGTCTCTACCCCTGCTGCCTTGGGGCTGGGAGAGGGGAGGGGAGGCCGTGTCCTCCCGTCCGCTCTGACCACACTGTCCCGGCTGCTTTTTGAGCACCAAGGACTCGAGCTGGCCAAACACACATCCCCAGCTCTGGAAACGGTGTGGATGGAGCCCATAGCGAGGTTCTGTGGAGGTTCTCCCGATGACTTTCGCATCTCCTGTCCCGGTCAGCCTTTGTGGGCATATCCAGTGGACACTTTTAGTATCCAGGTACCCATGCGTGCCACTGCAGTGAGAGGAAGGCGTAAGTCCAGATGGAAGTCCCACTGCTTGCCCATATCCCTGGGGTCCAAGCCGCACTGGGGACCGCTGGGCCTTGCCTGTCACCACTGACCTTTTGTCTCATGGGCGGGCGTCCTTGTGTCTGTCTGGAGACGCCCGCCATGGCCATCTGTCTGGAGGCAGTGGCTTGTCCTCCCTTGGTGGCTCCAACCCCGTGTGACGGAGCAGCGTGAGGAGAGGGGGCCGGTGATGGCTCTCGGGGACCAGGTGGTGCCCACTGGGGCCTTTCGTGGCTCTTCCCAACACTGTCTGCCTCAGCTGACCCTGGGGCGGCCTCCTTCAGCCACTTGCTTGGCAGAGGACCAGGAGGCCACCGAGAGGGCCGCCTCTTGGCAGCATGGATCTGCCCGCGGCCACTCCCGTTTGCTGCTGGCCCAGCGCTCTGTCTGCCCCGGCTTCACCTCACACTTCACTGCCCAGCTCGGCTCACCCCGAGGGCGCCGCCGCCGGCCAGTGACCTGGGCCGGGCAGTGCCCCTGGGCTCGGCTGCTTGGCTGCCTGTGTCCCGCGCCCCTCGGCCGCTGCTCTCGTTAGAACAGGGCCAGGTGGGGACGAGCTCGCACGTTCGCGTGTTAGCGTGCGCCATGGAGTCCCTTCACTGTTCTCAATGGTCATTTTAGGAAGCGCCAGTGAGGTGCCACGGACACGCGGATCGGTGGCGCGAGTGGGGCACACAGAGATCTCGCCGAGAACTGAGCGAGACCCACCTGCGGAAGCCCCGGGGGAAGCTGGCACGGCCACAGAGGCGGCGCATCCCCGTGGGGACAGTGGCCAGAGCCAGCGTGCCCCCGAAGAGTGTGCCCCCGTGCCTGAGGCCCTCCCAGAGTGCTCGGGGCAGAACCCCCCGGGGGCAGAGCAGCCTGGGCGTGGGGAGCCAGCCGTCCCGCGCCCCTCAAGTCCCCTGAAGTCCAGCAGTGACCTGGTGGACCCCGAGGGGGAGCGGGCAGCAGATGCCACCGAGGAGCAGTGCCCAGGCTTAGCTCCTGCTCCCGAGATGTCCCCAGACACGCAGGGGCCCACCCAGGGCGCCCAGGTGGGCGGGGACAGTCAAGAGGAAGAAGACGAAGGAAGGGGTCCGAGGGGCGAGAAGCCGAGCCACGCCAGGCCTGCGGCTCCGACGGCAGCACCTGGCACCGGAGAGGCCAACAGCGACCCCCCAGAAATGAAGGAGGCCGACAGAGAGATGCAGGGGCCCCCGGGAGAGGCGGCGGACTCGTCCCAGAAGAAGGCCAAGAACAAGAAGAAGAAGAACAAGAAGAAAAGAGCGCCAGCCACCACCAACAGCGGCCACGACGCTGAGGAGGACGCGGCCTCCCAGACCTCAGACTCGGGGGCCGTGAAGGGAGAAGAACCTGTGGAAGGGGCCAAACAAAAGCCAGAGCCGCAAGCTCCGAACACGGGGCCTCACACGCCGCCGCCAGAAGTGGCAGCTGGAGGCGGGGAGGAGCCAGAGCCTTCTAGAACTGAGTGGGGCAGAGAGCAGGAGCAGGAAGACGGAGCCAGTAGTGCACCGGCCACACCAGGGTCAGTTGAGGGGGTCCCAGGCGCTGGAGAAGGCAGCGCCCCTCAGGAGGAAGAGGAAGGGCCCTCGGAGGGCTCGCAGGGAAGCCCCCCGGGATCACCGGCATCCCCCCACTCCAGGGCTGGGGGGGATACAGAACCGGTCAGTGCGGAAGACGGGGACTCGGCCGCGGCGGGAGAGCTGGAAAACTCCGAGGACGCCAGAGACAGCAGCGGGAGGGGCAGAGGCAAGGAAGACTGCGCCCTGTCGTAAGGGTCCGCCTGCCACCCTGCCCTACGCTCCTACAGATGCTGCCGCCGTGGGTGGGGTCCAGTGGCGCCTGGCCTAGGTTCCGGGAACATTCCCGTGGGCTCCCACTGCCGTCGACCCACACGGTTCTGCTTTGGGTAAAAACCTTTTCCCATTTGTCTCGGGGCTGTTCCGGACCAAACCCGGGGGCTGAACTGAGCATTCCGGGGTGGTGAGCCCTGCAGGGGCCACGCTCGTTTCCCCTTCCCAGAGGCGCGTCCCGGCTGATTCGGAACCAGACAGTGGGCCCACTGGGTCCTTCATGAAGAGGCCGTGGTCGGAAGAAATGGCCCCAACAGGACCGGCTCCCCCACTTATCGCAAACCAGCACATTCCAGGCTCTTTCTGATGCCTGAATCTTTTCACAGGGGATTCCTAGTTCATGCTGATCTGATCAACAGAGATTTTATTTTAATTTTCTAGAAGAAACTACATTTTCTACTGCAGTATTTTGGGGAAGGGGTACCATTTCTAACAGTTTTTGTTTTTCTGTTTATCTCGCCATGATTCAAAGGAGCAAAAATAAGGGTCCTCACCTCGTCCTGCAACAGGAATTTTAAAGAGCTGAAACATTCCCTTTTGAAATAAGTATGTTAATTTGCTCTTTCTTGGCAAACTCATTGGAGAACTCTTGTCTTGGGCTTCCTGAATGAAATATATTTTTTCTATATAAAGAAGCATTTAAAAATAACTGTAAGGACAAATAAAAATTGTGAGGTATTAAATCACAAGGGACTGTATGCTGTTCAGTATGAATGCTGTTGTCACTTTATAAATCCGTGTAAACTTGCTGTTACACCAGTGCCTGTGTATGGTCTGGGGCACCCTCGTGTTCCGTCTCACTGAAATAAAACTCTTCTGAACAGCAGCCGCCTGTGGGCCTGTCTCGGGGCGCCGCGTCTGGGCTGGGGTGCTGGAACGCCAGCAGAGTTCCCTCTGGGGACGTTGACAAGCTCCCCTTCAGTCTCCTGGGATCTGCGGTTCTGACAAGGGGCCCCCGAGTAGTTCACCTGGCAGTGCTCGGGAGGGTCTGAGGATCCCAGCACTGTCCTGTCCCCCATGGAGGGTTTGAGGAGGACAGGGCCTGAGCCTGCCCGTGCCGGTGTCGCTGTGGAGAGCTGCCGTCTCCCAGCGCCGCTGGCCTTTGGCGCCCACCTGCATGGCTCTGCCCGAGGTCTGCCCGGAGTGGGGGAGGGGGCTCCTAGCAGAGTGGTGGCGGGAATAGGAAGTGGGAGAGGACGGCGACATCCTCAGACCGGCCACACCGTTAACACCATTACTTCCCGGTCTGACAGCCCTCGTGGCGCCATCGACTCCTTTGCCCGGCACGCTGAGACATGGCCACAGAGAGGGTCCTGAAGTCATGAGCCAGTGACCCTGCGGGTGCGCAGTTGAGGGGGACATAAAGGTTCCCAGGCATTGGGAAATGTGTCAGTGTCCAGGCGTGTGACCTGGAAGGATGACCTGTCCACTCTCCCCAGAGGAACCCAGACCGTCAAGGCCTTACCCGAATCCAGAGCAGAGGAAAATAGCGGCCACCGATGCCTTAGATCAGAAAACTGGGGCGGTTCAGCACCGAACCCCGACGTGGGGCCATGCCGTGAAGCGTGGCCCGGCCCGTGGCCCAGTGCGGGTCCTGGGAAGGGGGCGCGGGGGCATAGCCGACAGTGCAGGAACAGAACCTTGGCTGGTGCATATTGGGGCTCAGCCGGGCTCGTCACGGGAGCGAATGTGCTCCATGGGACTTTCTGTGACGTGTAGTATTCCAGTGCGCGGGAATCCTAATGCACGAACCCCTAGATTTCTGGGCACCCTGGAATGCTCCTTCTGGGGACTGTCCAGTGTGGAGGGTCCTGCTTCCTGTGGGTAGACTCCTTTCCCAGGACACTGCATCAGACAGCGCAGCCCTGCTACCACGGCCACCAGACCAAGGGACACGCAGTAATAGGTTCGAATGTCCAGACCCCTGAGGAAAGGCAGAGTTGTGGCGTTTTCCCAGTGTGGTGGCTGTACGCCTGCCCGCACCCTGGGCCTCAGCCTCGGAGGCAGTGCCTTCTCCAGGGGTGCCTGGGCCCATGTGGGTGCAGCCTCCCACCCCCCGTGCCTGAGTGCTCACTCTGTTCCCTTGCTGGGGGTGGGAGCCTGGTCCCAGGGGAGGGTGACAGGCGAGGTCCAGCGCAGATGGGAATTTCGCGGACCCAGCTAGACGCTGCTGATGGTCTCTGCGTGTCTGGAGGCGGCTGGGTCTCTGCAGATACAGCCAGGGTGACTGAAACCCCGCCAGGGACCTTGGTCTCACGGCTGGGAGCCCGGGCAGGCAGCCCAGCCTCCCTGCAAGTGGGGTCGCAGCTGTCCTGTGGGGCTTCAGGGCGGATCAGGCTTGGGTGACATGGGCAGGAGAGGGGCCAGAGGCCAGGGGTGTGTCTCAGCTGGGACCACAGGCTGGGCGCTGCGTACCCTCAGCCTTGTCCCAGCACAGCAGAAAACAGACAAAGCCTGGTGGTCGCATGACGCCCCACCATCACCTCCCTGGTCATTTCATCCAAGAGTGTGATCCTTAGCAGTAATACCAGGCCACGTGACATGGGGACTTAACTGTGCCTCGTCCCTATAAAAGGACCCCTCACCTGGAAGTAGTTTGCGTGTGAGTCCAGCGTTCAGAACATTCCAGAGCCACGCTGATCGTAAAGACGGTCAGTGACAGTCTTCTGAGTCTTGCAGTAAGTATAGCAGAGAGGTGTCCCCTTTTGAATACTGGATTCAGCACTCGCTTTTAAAGTGTGAAAAAAAAGCGCTCATTTTTTTTTCTTTTGAGGGGAGTCCACACTCAGCAGGGCTCAGGGGTTACACCTGGCTTTACACTCAGAAACAACTCCTGTTGGTGCTCGGGGGACATTGTGGAAGGCCGGGGATCGAACTTGGGGGTGGCCACGTGGAAGGCTAACACCCTCTCTGCTCTACTATGGCTCCGGCCCCAGCAGTGCTCATTTTATTTGCATCACATAACTGTGCCTCAGTCTTTGTTCCGTTTTCTTAACCTTCATCTTCATCTTCTCCCTGGTTCTACTTCGGACTTTCGCCTCCTTCAAAGTTCTGCTTCCCTCTGTATAATCGATTTCTCATGCCCTCACATAAGATGAAAGACCAGATCATCCTTATTTAACACTTTTTTTTATTATTATTAACGTCTCCATTTTGGAGAACACTTTAACTTGCTAGTGGGAGCTCTTAGTCATCTGGGAAGATAAAATGCAGGAAACTTGTAGAGCAGGTGGCCGAGCCTCCAGACAGCCGCTGTGCCCCGCTGACGCCTGTCTGTGCCGCCAGCGTGCAGGGGAGGAAACGGTTGAGGGTCGACGCTGGGCGACAGACAGAGCTCAGGGTGCGGCAGTGCCTGGCGTGTCCGCCCAGGCCGAGAGCAGGGAAGGAGCGGAACCCTGTCTGGGAGCAGCTAGGCTGCTCGCAGACTCCAGTGGAACCCAGAGAGGTGGCAGCTGTTCTGGACGCCTCTCCTGTCACACCTGCCCTGCCCAGGTTCACTTCCTTCCTTCTGTGCCTCGGCACGGCCCAGTCTACTTGGGAAAACAACCAGCGGGGCACGGAATCGGGCAGGCACGTGGCTGGACGGGGTTTAAGGAGCACGGAGACGTGTTTTCCAGGAAGGATTTCCGAGTCACGAGGCTGAGCCGGGGCCTGGAGCATGAGGAGGACGGGCGGTGGCGGCAGGCCAGGCGGGTCAGGCCGGGCTGCAGGGGGGCGCACGGGTGCAGCCCATGGGGGCACCCACGGTCCCGACTGCCCTTGCATCAGTGTCCCAGACCCCTGGCCTGGGTTTCTCTGTATTCAGAGACCACACCATGGGCCTTCCGTGCAAAGGCCGTTTTGGGGACTCCTCGACGCACCCCTAAATACCAGGCTGGGTGGGTGCCGGGCTCAAACATTCTCCCTCGAAAGAACGATTGCCCTGACCGGTGGGCACGCAGGATTCCGACGCCGAGCAGAACTCGGGTGTTGCTGGGCCGAGCCGGGGGAGCACTTGTGCGCGGGGACGTGCCGGGCTCGGGCCCTGTGATGATGCTAAACTGTGAAGCCTGTGAGCTCTTGTGTTGCAGTGCGGTTCGGCCCTAGCGCTCTTGCATGCTAACCCCACGTAGAAGAGTAGCCTGTTTGCATGCAGCGGAGGCGGCCCCTGACGAGACAGCATGTTCTGGGAGGCCGACCGTCCCCCGGGCTGAGTTCCTCCCCATTCACTGTGGTACGTGTATAATCCTTCATCCGAGTTTCACTAACCTGAGTCTCGCGCCTCCAGGCAGCGCGCGCAGAAGGGCCCAGCGCTCCGGGCGCCCTAACCGGGGTCTCTCTTGCCTCCCGCAGATGCCAGGTTGAAAAAGCTCATCGATGAACGGGAATGCCTGCTGGAACAGGTAACAGCTCCCGCTTCCGTGCACGTCCTCCTTGCCTGCACGTCCTCACACCTTCACAGCCTGCGTCAGGACCACGCCACACAGCCCTGAGGGTCGTCACTGAGCAACTGGTGGCCTGAACGTCCTTGTCCGGTGCCCAACCGCTGTCTTGACGCCCAGTCCCCCTCAGTGATTTTTCTTAAAGCGGCGACAGTCCTTCCGGAGGCCGCAGGGCAGGTTGTGATGTGTGCCTGAGTTTCTCTCCTCATTAAGCCTGTCCCCCTGAGCAGCGGTGCCCAGGCAGTGCCCAGCTGCGATTCAGGGTGCTGCTTCTCCCTGGGCACGCTGCTTCCTTTCCTGTAACTGAGCAGACGCCTCCCTCTCCCTGGGATGGAGAAGTTCACACCCTTTCCGGCGGGTTTCAGATTAAGAAACTCAGAGGGCAGCTGGACAGCAGACAGAAGAACAGCAAGCCCGACACCCTGCGCCCCACAGACGACATCCTGGAAAACGGGACTGACGTGCACGTGCTGGATCTCCAAAGTAAACACTCTGGGGGGCTGGAGCGATAGCACAGCGGGGAGGGCGTTTGCCTTGCACGCGGCCAACCCAGGTTCGATTCTCAGCATCCCATATGGTCCCCCGAGCACCGCCAGGAGTAACTCCTGAGTGCAGAGCCAGGAGTAACCCCTGTGCATTGCTGGGGGTGACTCAAAAAGCAAAAAAAAAAAAAAAGTAAACACTCTGGGGTGGACCTGGTGGGCGGAGAGAGACACGGTCCGAGCCGGTTTGCCCCCACCCGGGTCCCCACGCCCCTGGGACACAAAAGTGCAGACGTTCCTTAGTGGGATAGAGCAGGGATGCCCTACCTGAGCCTAAACATTGAACAGATGCCCTCGAATGTCCCCCCGGGACACTGCTGCCTGGGCTCTGCGGGGCTCACGTCTTTCTGCAGCCACAGCGGAAAGGCCTCTGGTCTGCTGACCAGCGCCATGGACAGGCGTTTCCTATGCAAGCCCACGCCAACACCTGCCTCTCGCTCCCTCTCCCTCTGGCCCCCACCGCTTGTTTTTATTTTATTGAGTCCCCGTGAGATACAGTTAGAAAGTTGTTCCTGATTGGGTTTCAGTCGTCTAGTTCCCCAACACTGTCCCTTCGCCGGTGTACTTTTCCCACCGCCAGAGTCCCCCGTTTCCCTCCCACCCCCACTCCGCCAGCCTGCCCCACTAACAGACCCTCCCCCCACTAGGGCCTGTTGATATCATAAATGATATCATGAATATCATTTATCTCCTTTTAGCGCCCAGTTCTTGTCCTCGTGATCACCCAGAGTGGTCATTTCCAGCTGTCATTGTCATGGTCCCTTCTCTGTCCCCACTGCGCCCCCCCCCCACCCCCGCTTCTGTCTGCTCTTGCCTCTCAGCCCAGGAAGGGACCTTCAGATGTGCAGGACT